TTTTCTATTTTGGAATATATATGTTGTTTTTAGGGTTAATATACAAGATGACTTAATTTTTTAGGCAGGGAACCTAATTTTTGAAGCAAGATAATTACCCAAGAAATGATTTTTCCTGGTCACAGTTTAACAACTAGTGATTTAAACCACATATGTAAAGGAAATGTAGTCTTTGTCTGTAATCTCTAATTAATATTTGGTGTGAATGCCTGATAATTTCATAGCAGAATAGCACATGATCATAATTGCCAACCCATGGTTCCTTTTTTTGGGCAGTTTTCTGTCATGAGCTTAACAGAGTAGGCTTGAGATAGCATATTATTTTTAAATAAAAATGGTCCTTGAAAATACTGTTTTAATATGTAAAAAGTGCTTTGTTTAAATTAGATCCTTAAGACTTAAAGTATAAGAGGGAGGATCATTATTAAGATTAGTCTGTTTGTAGTCTAGATAATTCACAGCAGGCAGAGAATTTACAGATCCCAGAGAGGTGATGGAGAAGAACAGGGGTAGTGGAGTGAGGATTTTGGAACTGAAGGAGTAGGACTTCCTTTACCTAGGTGGTGACTGAGCAATAGTCTTTCCCAAGGGCAGCCGTTTTGGAGCCTTCAGGGTGTGGGACGTCGCCTTGTCGGTTGGGGACAGAGTTGCAGGGTGCAGCAGGCTGGTAATCTTTTGAGGGAGAGCGGGGTTTTCTCTGCTGCTCTTCCTGTCTGTGCTGTAGAGGCTGGGCTGTCTCTTGGGAGTGTGAGTTGGGGCTGAGGGAGAGGAAGGGTCGTTGAGAGTAGTGCTAAAGGCAGAACAAACCAGGACCCGAGGAAGAATGTGCTTGTGGTGAGAGCTCACCTCACGTTAAGGCTCCACATTCTTAGCCCCACTAGTTTGAGGAGGATAGGAGGTGGTTGGTTGGACTGAAGTTGGCTGGGAATTCCTTGTGTAGGTGGATGAATATGTGCCTGTGACATGGGCAGTCTTGTTCTGGATAGGGCCAGGCAAGCTGGGTTTGGCAGCTGTGGTATGTGTCACAGGGTACGCTGCGTATGACTTCCCTGAGAATTTGTGAAACTATTAAGGTCTAAATTGCTTATTGATGCAGGTGACTGAGTAGAAACTTACTGCTAAATCAACTGATTATTCTTAAAAAACAGCTTGCAAAAAGGTGGGGTGAAACTCCTAAATTTTGTTGTTTTTTTTTTTGGCTTTTCTCCGGTACCGGGAACTGAACTCACGACCTTGCACTTGCCAGGCAGGCGCTTTTGCCGCTGAGCTAAATCCCCAGCCCAATTTATTTTTTTTCTACTTTAAATTAAGCCACTTTTCTGCCCTTTGAAAACTCTTAGGTTAATGATTTCACCTGTGACTACATAGTACGTTCATCTGGGGACCCCTGAAAGACTACGGATGGTTAGTTCTTGCCCTGAGAAATTTGGCTGGTTTAGAGAATGGCCTGGGCATCAGGATTGTTTTGCCTTGTTTTCGTTTTGGAGGAATGGTACTGATTGAATGCACGGAGGGCTGAGCGATATCCCAATCCCTTTTTATTATTTTATTTTGAGACAGGGCCTTGCTAAGTTGCTTACGCTGACCTCTAACTCACAGTCCTCCTGCCTCATCTTCTGGATTAGCTGCTGTTACACGCATGCACCTCCATGCCTGGTGGTGTCGGGATTTTTAAGAGCTCTATAGCACATTTTAATGTGCAGCTAGGGTTGGAAACCACTTGACTTTTAGTTCATTGTTAGGGAACCTGAGATTGGTGTAGGCTTAGAGGAGAATTTTGGGGTACAACAGTTAAGAATATGATTTCATTTTAGTATATCTAACATTTCTTGCCTACATTTTTGTATTTCGTATGACAGAGCACAGTCACTTACTGATCATACTCTGTTGAATATAGCCTATGTTAGTTTAGTAGTTCTGCATAAGTTATGACTAGATGTGATGATTGAGTTGAAGGAGAATTAACAAGAATCTCTTTAACCTTAAAAAAAGGACTCAGAAGGCGACACCCCTCTTCATGATGCCATCAGCAAGAAACGCGATGACATTCTTGCCGTCCTCCTGGAAGCAGGAGCGGATGTCACCATCACAAACAACAACGGGTTCAATGCTCTGCACCATGCTGCACTGCGGGGAAACCCCAGGTAAAATGCCACCTGTCACTGCCTGATGTGCCAGGGAGAAATATTGCCCTATTGCTGCTGCTTTTCCAGCTACTGCTAAGTCAATGATTTCAACTGATTTTAGTATCTTAAGTAATTTTGAAGGTCTGTGGAGGTTATGCCATCATTCAGTAGATTAGTTTTATAAGTATTATGAAATGATTGTTTATATATTAAATGTTAGGAATATAGAATACTGGCTTATAACCAAAGATTTAGTTAGAATGCGTTCCATTCTGTGATTTTTGTTTCTTGAAGATCATTCTTAGGTTATCTTCTAATTCATGTTATCCATTTGCATAGCCATTAAAAAAACCCTGCGGTGAATAAACATAAAAGTTACCTAAGTCCTTATTAATAATATAATCAATTATATAAGCTTTTAGTCTAGATGAGCCCAGTTGCTATCACAGTACAGGTGTTGCGCTGGGAAGGGGCTTGCTGGTTGGAGTTTCAGAGACTGCCTTGGATAGTCAGTGTTTGGAGAGGGTCTGCAAAGTCCCTGGGAGAGGAAGTGCTTATGTTTGTATAGGTTTGAGACTTCCATGAACTAATTGTTTGGAACAGCATATTTTAAGATGCATTTCAGGAAATTCTGTTTTATTTGTCTGTAGTTGACTCAAGTGCATATGTCTTTTTTAAAAAATTAATTTTATAATGATCACATTTATGCGAGTTTGTGTCGGGACGTCTTGATTCTTCTTTTTTCCTCACTCCCCTGCCCTCCCCTCAACCACTCTTCCCCTCCATATTTACAAAACCTTTGTTTCCATTTTTTTCCTCCTATTCCCTCCCCAGCCTGTTCCCCTTCCCATTTGAGTATCTTCTTCCTAATTCCCAATGTTTGTCATCTGCTTTGGTCCTTATTTACCCTTTAGGTTTCTCACATAAGAGAAACAATGCAGTATTTAAACGTGTGTCCGATTAAGTGCCTACATCTTGACTGAGGAAAATGTTCACGCTAATGTTTATTTTGAATTTTATACATCGTGAATTTTTAATCTTTGGTTGGTTGGTTGGTTGGTTGACTTATTTATAGCTTCTTAGGACCACCACTAGAGGGTGATCACAGAAAACAAAAGACAGTGCTGTTGCTTGGTGGTACCCATGACAGTAGGGATATAATGTAGGATGTGATGAATGACTGTGTTTCATGTCTTATACCTTTTCAAATTATGAGTATTTGAACACTTTATACTTTTGTGCTGTGAAGGAGACAATAGTATTTTGTGTCCTGAGCCTTTCAAATAGAAGATAATTATTTCAGTGGTAGTAGTTGGCACATGGCAAGCCTCTGCTAAGTGCTTTTCGTGTACTATCTCACTCAGTCCTTTGAATGCCCCCTTCCCTCCCCATGCTAGAGATCAGTCTGGGACCTCGTGCATGCTAAGTACAGGCTCAGCCACTGAGCTGCATCTCCAGCCCTTTCAGCAGCTTTTGGGGCAAGGGTTAAGATCTCCATCTTATAGGTGAAGAATATGGGGCTTATCAAGATGCATTTCCTTAGTCACGATTCTGCAGCTGATTAGAGGAGCAGCTGGAACTTGAGCAAGGTCTCTGTGACTTGAGAATCAGCTCTTATGCCCTTCCTAGTACTGTGTATGCTTTGTGGTCTGTAAGTGAGGCGAGATACCCGGACAGTAATTTAGCTGAGAACCATGGCTCAGCGCATCTTTCCTTTTGATGTGTTATTGCTCATGGTTATCTTTGCTCTTTGACTAATTTCAACTGCAGTTCCTTTTAAAATTCAATTTATTCTTCTAGTCTTTCTAGTCTGTCCCATTCTTTCTATTCCTATTGTTGCTGACATAATTCAGTTCTCACCAGTTTTACTTTGTCTATTGTAGTGTCTTCCTAATTATTCTTCCTGATTTAACATCATGTAATTATCACTTTAAAATTCCCCTCCGTTCCTAAACTTTTAGTTGTTTCTCACATTTATAGTAAAAGCGGCACAGTGCCTGCCTGGCAAGCGTGAGGTGTTGAGTTAGATTCCCAGTACCCCCAAAAAACAAAATTTACGCATCTTGACTTGTCATTTGAAACAATTTTTAATGCATCCTGAGCCTGTTAACTTCATCTCGCAGCAGTTATACTTCCTCTGCCCACCTTGCCCTTTGGTTACATGGTTACATTGCTGTCTTTTCTCTCTAAAATACACTCACTGCTCTCTTCCCTGTTTTCCCCATTCTCTGTTACTATGTGCATATCTTTCTTTCTGTTAAAATTGTGGGTGCTCATATTTGTCTCTGTATTCCTCTCAGTGAGTGCTCTGAATATAGGAAACAATAATTTGACAAGTCATTTTACATGACTACTTACAGAATTAATTCATTAGGGAAACTTAATTCAAATTAGCAATTTTACACTGCAGTTATACATAGTATACGTGGCTTAACTATTGAACTTCATTATAATCCATTTTAATTGCAGTTAATTATGCTGTATTTTGGTTAGTAAACCTTAGCAGGTTTTGAGTTTTTCTTTTATTAGAACATATTTTTTACAGTAGATTATTTGCAACAGTACAAGTATAATTTATTTGCTTATAATTTCTTCCACTTATGGTTAAGAATGTGAGAAAAAATTTCTAAAATCTGCGTGAGTACAGTGGGATTTAAGTACCATTCTGTTTCCTGGCTTAGATTTTAGTTAACAATAACAGTTTTTCAGCAATGGGTCAATAACACAGTAGCGTTAATAATTATCAGTGTGCTTTTCTAAAAGAAAAAGCTGCTGGGCATGGTGGCACACACCTATAATCTCAACACTGGGGAGGCTGAGGCAGTAGGATTATTGTGAGTTCAAGACCCACCTGGGCTACAAAGTGAGCTCAAGGTCAGCCTGAACTGCATAGTGAGACCTAGTCTTTAAAAAAAAAAAAAACCTATATCTTGGTCTTTTCAGTGTGTTTAAGCTATCCTGTGTTTTTGAACAATATACTTTGAAATTTAGATGTCAAAGGTTTGGATCAGTATAAATCCTAGATTACAAAGCTGATCTTGGTCTTTACTCATCATTTGACTACTGAAATAAAGACATTGAGAGAAAACATAGTAAAGCTATTTTCTTTTAAACTGTAAGTTTTGCTATAAAACATTGTACTTGGGTCATACAGTTTGTAGTATTTTAGAATAGGTACATATTTTAAGTCAGAGGCTTATTTTAAAATAAATTTTAAACTAAGCATATGGTTTATGAATTCTGATATTTGATGTTTATTTATTTTCACCATTTTGGCCGTGCTGGGGAGGGCACCTAGGGCCCAGGCAAGCACTGTATTGATGAGCTGCATGCCCAGCCTGGTATTTGATATTTTTTGAGATGCTTTACCCTAGTGTTTAGCCATATTATCTTTTCTTACTCTAAACAGGTAAGAATTGGGATTTAAGTCAAGAGCAGAAATGATTTCTGCTGATAAATGTAAGAACTAAATGTCTTTGGATTCCTGAGCCGCAGGTTACTCGAGCACTGTGAGAAGGCTTGCACACTGCATTTGGCGTTGTCTTTAAGTTTTCAGAGCTCCTGGCAGGCTGGCTGTCCATCCGTCAGCAGAATTCTCTGCAGAGCTGGCGAAGACAGGTGATAGGTCTTTCGGGGAGACTGATAACAATGTTATAAAATTACTTTACATATCAGTATTTATAATTTTTTCTTTACTCCAAATTGAACATTAAAAAATAACAGCAAAATATGAGTGAACTGTGTGCAGTGATGCTGTGTTTTCAAGTTAGTACTAAGAGAACTTCTTGTTTACTCATCTCTTTATTCCCGTAAAGAGACAACAGTAAATCCTGTGGAACCTGTGAGCAGCTCATGTTTTCCTCTAGAACGTTACAGTATCTTGATTTAACTTTCTCAGTTCTGAAATATGATTTGGTAAATGAAACTGTGTTCAGTGTAGGAGATTTAGTAATTGGGAGGCTGTCTTGATGTGCATTTTTCCCTTTTATAATTTTGACCATGCTGGGTACTGAACAAAAATTAGCTGAGAATCTGTTACATAGTGATACAGTATATCTGTTATCTCTGCTCATTCCTCTACTCTCAAATACCGTGTATCTTGTAACAGTCACTACTTTTCACTGCAGTGTCTTTCTGTTGAGAGTTGTGTGGGTGCATGCATGCATGTGTGATTTTTGTAAAGGACAAAGGAGACTGTACAACGGAGGAAACAAGGAGGGAGCACTGAAATACCCTTACATTTTAAGCATTAAAAACCTTTGGTTCAGAGTTGGTGAAACTGTAGAACTAGATGCTTATTGCTTAAGTCTCTTAAGGCATTCTGTAATATAACCTCTTTTTTTCAGGTTTCCTGCTAACTAACATTCAGGGATGTAGTGGTAAAATTAAAGGTTAATCCCATGAAAGATAGTAACTCAACAATTACATAAGCTTTACTTTATGTAATAGTGTACTTTATGGCAGTATAATGGTATATAGAAATACGTGCCCATCCATGTAGTCTGTGCTGAGACATTCCCCTCATTTTCACACGAATTTTAGGTGAATATCCTTCCTCTGAAGGACGTATGTTTTTAGTATGAAGCATAGTCTACTTTTCATTATTATTTTCTGAAGAAAAAAAAAATAATACCAAGAGACCATAAATGAGAATTATTTTATTTGAAATTCATAAGTCATCCACACATTTTTCATAAAGCTTTTATAAATGTCTTTTAACCACTATAATTCTTCCAAGTAGAACAGTAACAAGTTACTTGGTTTTAGCCACAGTCTGAAGAACTTCAGTAAGTTGAAATTAGTTGACATGTAATTGATATTCATAAATGAAAGTGCTGGGTCTCCTGTAGTAATCAATGCATAGCTACAGCTGGTTGAAGGGGACCAAATCCATTGAAGAGGCGATTTGGTTCCATTTTACCAGCTTTAGCAAAGCATTGTAGTGCTGCTGGTTTGTGATACAGAACAGTTAAATGCTTTTTGTTTGTAAAAATACAGTTATGAGGGCCAGAGATATAGCTCATTGGCACAGCGCCTGCCTGGCAAATGTGAGGTCCTGAGTTCGATTCCTGGTTCCAAAAAAAAGTATATACTGGTTAAAAAATACAGTTATGGACCATTCACAAGTGTTAGAAATTCTCATTATCAGTGCTTCAGTTACTGAACGTAAAATTTCTATCTTGATGACACTTTTCCTACTCTTAACAGTTGAGAAGTCTTTTCCTTTTAACACATTGTCAGTACATGTGTTTGCTTTCAGCATTTTTGATTAATTATTGAATGTAAACAATAACTTGCTTCAAAACCAACAGCATTTATAAGAAAAAGTAGACCTTAACACATTTCAGAGTAATGTTTTCTATTTACTTCTAGGTAGTAAACTAGTTGGGAAGAGTGATATTAGCCACACATTTCTGTCATTGCTTTTTTTTTAGTATTATAGTTGAGGGCTCAGAGCAAGTTGCTGACAGTGGGTGGAAGGATATGAATGGCCTTAAGAAAATACCTCTGCCCTTTGGGTTATAAATAGATCACACATGTGTCCAGTGTGCTGCTTGGACTTGTGTTGGGAGGAACTACCGTGCATGCCAGCTTATTTTTCTTTGTTGTTGCTCATGTGGGGTTACTAATCATGGGTCAGTAATTTAACCATTTTAAAGGTGTTTTTTTCATGATTAAATTCTTTGTCATTTTGGGTACAGATTGTCTGGTTGCTTGTCATTATTAGCTTGATTGTGCATTGACTTGTGGTTAGCTATAATCCATGAATTTTTAGTATTAAAATTTACCACATAATATTTTAAAAATCTGTAGTGTAAGTTTTTGTTACACTGTGGTTTTGCTGTTGTTTTCAATATCAGAGAGGAATGTCTTCTGAAAAATGCTTGCAGAAGATAGGAGTCTGAGAAATTACGGTTTGTCTGTATAGTAACATAAAGTGAAATATAGAGTGAACTATTCGGAAATGAACTGGGAGAGAGTCAACAGTAATTTGGGCAATGTGCAAACGATTCTTACATGAAGTGTATTTCTAGCTGGGCGTGGTGGCGCACGCCTGTAATCTCAACACTTGAGAGGCTGAGGCAGGAGGATCGTTGTGAGTTCAAGGCCAGCCTGAACTACATAGCAAGACCCTGTCTCAAAAAGACAAAAAAAAAGAAAAAGAAAAACGTGTATTTCTGTATCTGTCAGTTGTTAAGTGTCTGGCTGATAGAAAAATTAATGTATCTACAGTTCTTTCCGTCATTTATTCTAGTAGAAGTGAAACAGGTGCTACATTGCATGAACTTAAGTGCTGAAGATAGCAATAACACTGCCTTCTATTTTTACTAGTTATATGGGAGCCATTTAGCAGATCCAGTTGCTCAAGTGTGCTTTTGGACAGCAGTTCAGTTTCATATACTGGCCATATCGGGGCAAGGAGAGGCCATGGGAAAAAAATAGTACAGCATTTGATAATGTCAGCATCTGTTATCCCTGTCAGGGAGACAGTTGAAATGTTTGAGTTACACCAGTGTCAGCAGATGTCCAGAGTTTAACATGTACTCAGTTAAAAATGAACAGCTGATCTAAGTGATAGATGTGACATTTTACAGTGATTGAAAATACTCTTCGATATGTTAAAGTAGTAAGAACCACACTTTATAATTTGACTTGATACATGCATAACATCATTTTCTTAAGGATTATATGCTCTTAGTAATATAGCAAGGAAATTCTTAGTTGCTGGAATGTTTAAAAAGAACTATTAAAACTTATACTTTTTATTAGTAAAATAGCTAATGTAATTGTTTATTACAAAGTAATAGCTAAAGTAATAGTTTATTACAAAGTAATAGCTAAAGTAATTGTTTATTACTCTCCTCATGGAGAGTAATACCCTTTGAGTAGTTTTATAGTACAGCCTTTGCTTTGGAGGCATATATTTTTAGTTTTTGGTATTTAGGACATGTACAGGTAAAGGTAACAGATGCAACCTGAAGCGTTGGCATTCTTTTTGATAGATGATCAGAGGGCCATGCTTAAGTGAGTTAAGATTTTCACTAATTTCTTTGAAATGTAGAATTTAAAAATCATACTTTTTATAATTTCCAGTAAGTGTAATAATGTACTACTTTATATAACTTTCTCATTCAGTATAACCTGATAAAATGAAATAATTTATTAATGAATTGTCTTATTAAACAGAAAATTAGCAATAGTTAAACTTGTCACTTCCATTTAGTTTTTAATATAAAAGTTTAAATTATTACTATGCTTTTTGTAAAATGTTCTTATTGAAACAACTTTTAGTAAGAAATAAGAATATACAAGCACTAGTATTTTCTTTTTTCATTGTAATATTATAGTTGCTTAAAATAGGTATTGCTTATTGATTGTTGCTAAGAACTTTTTAAAAAATTTCTTTCTTTCTTCTTAGTACTCGGGATTGAACCCAGGCCCTTGCCACTGAGCTCTTTCCCTAGCCAAGTTTTTATTTTTGGCACAGGGTCTCACCAAGTCTAGGCTTGAGTTTGCACTCCTCCTGACTCTGTGTCCCAGAGTGCTGAGATTACAGGTGTGTACCACCTGGCCTGGTTTATGAATTTTATACATGTACATAATAGATTATATAAAGTATAAAAAATGGTTTTCTATTCCTAACATAGTACAGTGGATCTATTATATCTATAAAACTGAATTGTAATTGCAGAGTACAGTACCAATAAAAATGGTTATTCTATATATGTAAGTTGGTTCTTGACTATCATGTTTTCATTTTATATACTCCCTCTGGAGGAAGCAAATTCAAAGATAATGCAGTCTGAAATTCTTCTAATATTGATTATAAAATTACTAGATGTGAAGAGTAGCTATTAAAATAGTGAAGTCAACCTGTGTGTGTGTGTGTGTGTGTGTGTGTGTGTGTGTGTTACTGTGGATTGAACCTAGGGCCTGAGCTATATCTCCAGCCCTTTTAAACTTTTTTAAATTTTGAGAGAGGGTCTTTTTAAGTTCCTGAGTTGCCCAGGCTGGTTTCAACTTGGAAGCTGCTTTCCTTAGCCTCCCAGAGTGCTGGGGTTACAAGTATATGCCACCATGCCTGGCTGCTGGAAGCCAGCTTTTCTTGTATCTTTTTTTTTTTTTTTTTCCCACCAAATCAGTTAATATACTTGAGTTTTGATCAAATTGTGAAGAAAATAAATTATGTATATCTCTTATTCCTTTGTGCTAGTATATTTTTTCCTTAATGTCAAATTTTAATTATGTGACTACTCAAGAAAGGTAAAAGGCATTGTGTTTTAAACTTAAATGCATTAAAAGGACTTTTGTGATAATTTAAAATCTACTTTAGTAGAACTTTTCCTTCACTAAATATAAATAAGTCATAAGGATACTGAGTTTACATCTATAAGTAGTAAGGATTGTGTGTGTGTGTGTGTGTGTGTGTGTGTGTGTTACAAAAGGTCACCCTCAGAATAGTAGGCTTATTACCATATGAAGGTCATTTGCAAAGAAGAGAAGCAAAGGCTTCTTTTAGCTGCAGTTTAGTTGCTGGTGGTAGCTTATTACCTACCAAAAATACATACTTCTTTACATTCCATAGCATTGTATGTTCATATGGGTACATAAAGAAGTATGTGCTCTGAGTAGGTATTACGAAATTGCTAGCTGTAAACACTTGTAAAAGAAAGAATACATTTGTTAGTATTTAGCTCCCTGTGCACAGCAGTGGTGGATCATTGGCAGAGACTAATTTACCAAAGACTACACTTCATAGCCAGTTTACCTGATCAGGCTGTAACGCCACGTAGGTTCCTTGTTCTCGGTGGATGTGAACATTTGTAAACATTCAACCAGTTTTTTGTTAAACTTTGTCCTAGTTTGGTTCTGTTTTGCAGGAGATTCATAGACTCATTGGAGCTTTACAGTGCATTTCAGAAATTGGTCAGAGCAGCTCAGTCGTAGTCTTCAGAGAGAGAAGCTTCTTTCTTTTATTTTTTGTCACTAGATCCTACAAGTAGATAGTAGTTTAGTTCAAAAAATTTTTTGCAAACCTCATACCTTATTCAAAACTTAAGTCAGTTAGTACTTGTAGAATTGACTATACTTGAAACAATAAGGAGAAAACCCAGGTCATTTCAGCATGCCAGTGAAAGGAGTTTTTTTTAAATAATGAATTTTTCCTTAGTTTCTTTTTTTAGGTCACAGATAAAAACTCATGATCATTTGAAAACTTCGTTGTTACAGTTCTTTATTAGTTTCTTAAATTTTATATTTCTGTGCTTCTGTTTGAATACACATTCAAACAGATGTCTCCATGTTGAATGTTAGTGAGCTTAGTTCTCTTGATTTTCAAAATCTTTCAGTCCACTTTCCCTAAGTCTTATCTAAAAGGACCGAAGGGTTGTAGCCTGTAGCACCTGGGTTTTAGCACAGTCATGTAACATGAGAAAAAATTACAGTTGGTGAGTAACTTTTTAATTATTACGATACTAAAGGGTTAATTTAAAAAGAAAACTTCAAGAAATGTTCAGATTTGCAAAGGAAGCAGGGAAGAGAGAAAGCAAGAGTAGTGGAATCTCAGCGAGTGCAGCTCACTGGAGCAAATCAGAGCGTAGTGGGGAGTCTGGCACCGCAGCGGTTAGCGGCGCAGGTTAGGGTCCCACTGTGCGCCTTCAGAGTTACTCTTGTGGTTGATTTCATGGTAAGCACTAGGAAGTATTTTATAATCTGCCAAGTTGCTTGGTTGACTAAATCTTGAAATACAATTTTTAGAAGGTAGTATACTTGCTGGGAGTGACAGATACAGATTTACTAGTGATGCAAAACTAATCTGAAACAGCAAAGGCTAAATCTTTAGTGATACAATTGACAATAAGAGATGTATATATTTTTGAGATTGAGTTACTTGTTATGAAAATATTTGAACAACATTCCTTTTTTACACCACCCAAACTGTTAATTTGTACTGTGAAGTTAGGCTCAGCCCAGATAGACTTTAACAAGCAGAACACATACCGAGTCGAGTGGACACGAGATAAGCATGCAGAAGGTCCTAAGTACCCTTGAAAGCACAGGCGGAGTGGTGCATTACCTGTCAGCTTAGTGCTGTGCAGCGCCAGCGGCAGGACAGGCAGTGACCTAGAGAGTCACATGCAGCAGCCCTCTCCTCTCGGCCCTGCGCTCACGCTCCGCGCTGATTCAGCACTTCTTTTATGAGCCGAGTCCTAAGGGAGGGCTGTCAGTGAACGCAGAGCCCCACCTTATACATTTGCAAAACAAACGAATAAACAAAAACAAATAACCTACTTTTCACCCCCCTCTCCTGAAGGAAGAAAATCCTCCAATAAATTTGAATCAACACTGTCCATTTGATCTGGAATGTCACAGTAATTTTTGCAGATACGTAGAGCAAGTTAAGTCACCAAGGAAGGTTGTTACAAAGACCACGAAAATGTACCTAGCTTATTCATCAGATGAAATGCTTCAGAAGAGGGGGGAAAGTTGCAGAGGAAGTTAATTTTATAATCTAAAAAAGACCAAAAAAACCCCCCCAAAACCCCAAAAACCAAACCAACCCAAAGCACACCTTATTCCCCCGCAAGTAACTAAACATTCCCCTGTCTTCCTTTGCCCACCAGAATACATTGAGTTCTTCTGACTCCTCAGGAAGTACTCTGCATCTTTCTTGCTTTGAGTTCTTTTGGTTTTGAGTTTCCAGGATTAAATGGTAGATCTGTAGTAAAGCTACCTTGTCATATCCAGAGGTCAAGTCTGCAAGCGAGGATGGGACTTCCACATGGTCACTACAGAGGCCAACTTATATTCTTCTCTCAGTGACCACAGGCCACACTGTTACGGCTTTATAGGCAGCTAAGCATTTGAAACATGCACTCCCAGGCAAACAGGCTCTCTTGTGCCTCTCTCTTCCCTGACCATATTTAGTCAACCATAGCAAAAAATAGTCTCTCAGCTGTCGATTGTCGATCCAAAAGCAGAGGAAGCTTCTATCTTGCTTTCTGCCTATTGATTGTTCATCCTGTGGTCCAAACACTGCTTTGCCATTTGTTTTGCCCCCCCTTTTTTTTTAAAGTACTGCCAAATAAAGCGGTCTCTCATATTTCCACTTACATTTCCCAAATTTTCCCTGAGCTAGTGCTGAGACTAGGAAAGCCTCATGCGGCAGTCACTATACTTAGAAGCACTGCAGAGAAAAAAGGAAAGAGGAAAGAAATTCCAGCGAGTAACAAGACAGTCTTTAAACAGATATGGAACAGTAAAATCCCCATGCTGCCAAAATGTATTTCATAACCTGATTTTTTTTGTTGTTGTTGGCAAAGATATTATGGATGGTGATGTGTTTCATGGCTGAAGGCCTGAAGGGATTTTATAAGGTTATATTTAGGGCTGGTTATTGCTATCCATGCTTTTAAAATTTATTGAATAGTATTTGGGAAATTTATAGAAATGGTAAGCAGAACCTGTATGTTGGCGGTAGACAGAAGCCATTGACTAAGAAGAGTGGTATATAAATGAAATACTGGAAGTGCTCCTTAAAACTTGAAATTCAGTGTCAATTTTAGTTTTTTATAGTGCTTAGTGAAAAACATGATCCAGAGTGCAGTTGAATAATCACGTTTTTTGTATTGAAACTAAATACCATGTAAGAGTACTAAAATTCATTTTATTATGAACTTAGTTCTGATATGAATTAAATTATTCATTTCAAATGTGATGTTTCTTTTTTCTCCTTTCTGCATTGCCATTGCTTCCTAATTTTCTGAAATAGCATTTAGGGATAATCATTGCACTTTTGCCTCAGATTAAAATTGTTACTAACCTGTCTATAACTGTGCTACACAGGATACAGTGTATCTCAAAAATACTAAATTTTAATAACATCCTCACAAGAAATTTATTTTTAACTGACGAAAAAACAGTATTAAAACAAAAAATTCAAGAATTCTATGTAGATATAATTTAAAATCTCACAAACCTAAAAATATTCAAAAGAAATTAACCATACTGTGTTCTTAATCCCAGTATATTCTCTTAAGTATGGATTAAGAATTAAGAAAACCATTACCAGTTTTCAGAGCGCATTCTCCTGCAGGGGAAGTTTGTCCTTGGCATTCTTTTTGTCTTTGGCGCTTAATACCATAGTAGTGCAATTATTTTGTATGGCTATTTTAAATGAGTGACAGAGGAGCTTCGGTACATATTTGGCAATTTTAAAGAACCAGCTTTCCTAGATACTGAAATGATTTTACTCATGAGATGTCAAACCTCAGAATGTAAAACAGGTTAATCTTCTGGTTCTTAAATTACCCTATTTCTGTTACTTTGGAGCAAGGAAAAAATTTGTTTTAAGCAAGCACATACAATGTATTATGTGCTGGGCACTCTTTTCTAAGCCCTTTTTATAAATATTAACTTATTTAATTTTCATTAAAATACTGATACAATTTTTGATTCACCTCATGTTTTACTGATGAAGAAACTGAGGCTTAGCAGTTAAATAATCTGCTTAAATCTCGAACCACTTGTTTTGGCTGGAGCCAGCTAGTTTGGGTCCAGGCCGGGAGCTCTTTAACTCTGTGCCTTGCTGTGGCTCTGGTGTGTAACAATGAGATGAGTTAGAGAATTACTGTTCTCAGGAACTCAACGGTCCAGCAACAGTACGCAGTGTGTCACCATGTCCTTGCCTCAGCATGTTCAGAAAGATGAGCATTCTTTTGCTTATTTCTGTGTTTTTTCCATTCAATAAAACTCTGATGGGCCGGAGATATAGCTCAGCGGTACAAGTGCCTGCCTGGCAAGCACAAGGTCCCAAGTTCAATTCCTGGTAACCAAAAAAAAAAAAATTCTGACCTCCATGTGACAGTGTTCCTATCTAAATAAGAAGCTTTCAGGTTGTGCAGATACCTGTTTTTAGCATGTCCAAAAGAACTACTTGTGATTGATCAACTTTCTTAACAAGTTCCTTTCTGAATTTTGGATGACCTGCTTTATCTATTATTTGAGAGTCTTGGTTAACTGAACAAGCATTTATTGAACATGTATGTGCCACAGGGCTATTCTAGTGTCTTTGCTTACATTAATTTTAATATGTAAGGCTACCCCAGCTAATTGCTATGGTTCATTGGGGAAAATGTTGCCTGTCTGAAGGAAGAGACATTAGAGACAGCCTCGCAACCCCCTAAAAATTGATCCAGTGCCATTTGTATACTGCATACCAGTGTGAACAGCTGCTTGTCCCCTGTACTTCTTAGAACTCAGTTGTTCATCGTTCAGCAAGCATTTGAAAACTACCATGTGCCAAGGATTATGCTAGGCACTGCTCTTAGTTGTTCCGGAACTTAATACTTCTCTGGCAAGATTCACAAATGCCTGCTTAACTGGTAGTAAGATCTTATCTTTAAAACATCCGTGCCCTTACCCTATTAGAAAACAACCAGTTGAAAAATTAAGAACCATTAAGGAAAGTGTCACCAAAAATCTCATATCCTCTACAGGTGAGAGAGCCTGGCATAGTATGGTCTGTGATTTACTGAGAGTTATCACACCTGTGTCCCAGTCTCTCTGTGGCCCTAACTGCGCACAGCACAACGGTAGTCTCTTCTCTTAATTGGCAGCCTGTTGCTGCCCTGTTGAGTGCCCTGTGTGTTCCTGAGATCGCCGGTTCGGCAGAGAAGGGAGGCAGCTGCTCTGAGCTGCTGTCGGTACAGGAGGCTGCTGTGGCCAGGGTGGCTTTTGTTTCATGTTCCCTTAGCTCACCTTGCAGGCTGGGCTCAAAGACAGGCTTTTTCCTTGAGCCTGTACTTTTTTTTTTTTTTTTTTTGTGTGTGTGTGTGTGTGTGTGTGTGGTTTTTTTCTGGGAAGGGGCCAGCAATTTCTAATTTAAGAAGAAAGGGTGCTGGTGTCTAAACAGACAGAAGTGATCGATCCTCCCCAAATCTCTGCTGTAGAATTCTGAATACTTTATGTTGGTGCTCCACTCTTAGGAGGTGGAGCGGAACTGCCCACTCCTTAAGTGTGGACTGAGCAAAGTGACTTCCTTGCTAAGAGTGTGGTAGAGAAATGCGGAGGAAAGCGTAACTGTGGCAGAGACCCTGACAGACCACTGCAGCCTGGTGAGCAAGAGAAACCTGAGCGTGATGGCACTTTGCTAGTACTGTCTTCCCTGGCACGTCAGACCCAGTCTTATGTTAATTTTCTTCCAAAAGACACATGGGACTTATTTTGTGGGGGGATGTCTTCTTTTTTCATGTACAACAATCTACATTTATTCATTTAGACTTAGGAGACAGGAATGGCAACAAAACTGATGCCAGTTAAGGGTGGTGGTCCACACAAAAGTGACGAAAAACTGCAAGCACCCAAATTCAGAAAACCTTTATTTCACAGGAGCACATTAAGTATGCTCATTTCAACATACAACATACTGAATTACGAAGATTCCTTTAGACACAGCCACATCCGTTTGTTACCAAGTGTGGACGTTATTTGTGCATTGTCTGCGCTCTGGTCATTCAGCAGTAAGTCTCGAGTTCATCTGTTTACATAGGCATTCATCTCGTCCAATGGCACCTGCTTGGGTGTTTACAAATATTTAGTTATAATTTATATTGTCATTTATTTTAATATTAATGTCAATAATACTTCTAATTATATATCAATATTATTTTTATAATTCAGTATGTCCATCATATGTTGCAGTGGATATGCTAAATGTGTCCATCTGGCTGATGATCTTAACTGCAGCTTATTTTGGGGCTAAAGCAAGAGTTTATTATGAGCATTCTGAAAAGCGATGCTAGGGTTTATTTCCGGTTAGGTCTTACTTTGGGGGAAATATAGACCACTCTGTGGTATGACGTGATGAAATGGCACTATACCTCTGGGTCTTTAGGAGCCGGTACCTCTGGTGTAACAGGCAAACCCCAACTGAGGAACATGCTGCAGATGCCAGGGAAGTCTGAGAAACTGTTATAGCCAAAGGGAGTCTAAGGAGTCATATTTTGGTATTCTGCAGCAGAGAAAAGCTAATTTTCAGTAAATCTGAAATTAAAATTTTATTTGAAAAACACATGGAGCCTGGGGTGTATTTCAGTGGTAGAGCTTTTGTCTGGTTTGTATAAAGCCTGGGTTTAATCCTCAGCACCGCTCAAACATGAATGAATGAACAAATGAATGAACAAACTAATAAATGAATAAGTGAATGAACAAACGAACAAAATGACACCAATAAAAACTAATCTGCTTACTTTTGGCTACTTACAACAGACTTTGCACCCCCCCCCCCATACCGATACTGGGGATTTAAACCAGGCTTTTACACAGAGCTACCAGGCTGGGCTCAAACTTGGGACTCTCCCATCTCAGCCTCCCAGAATGATGGAATTACAAGCACATGCCACCATGCCCAGTTCCTTGCATTAGTTTTGATTGGGGCTATTTACAGCACTTTTCCACAGTTTGTACCACTAAACCAAGAGTTGATTTGCTATAACTGATTTCAAAAAAACATTAAGGATAGACTCCTGTTTAAAATGTACATTGTGATGAAAAGGTATATTTTAGAATAATTTTCCTCAGTACTAGTCTTACTAGAAAGATTTGCTTTTAGGATGTTTGCATTTGTGGAAAATGAGATGGCATGTTTGTGTGGGAGCGATAGGTTAGGGAGGGCTTAGCCTGTCTAGAGGATGTTGAGGCCCTGGGGGAAAGGTAATCTTAGAAGGAAAAATCAGCAAGATAGATTGTGTATGGAAGCAGGAAGGGAGAGATGTGTCTGGGTGATTCCAGGTCTGACTAGGATGGCTGATCTCAGGGTGAGAGCGTAAAAGGTTGAGAGTAGAGGAGGAGCGTTGGGAGTGGAGAGGAGAGAAG